TTGTTAGAGACCTAATTTCAAAAGGAAAACTAAATCTCCTGAAGGTACAAACTAAAGAAAACCCAACCGACATGGGAACCAAAGTGGTAACAACAGCAAAGTTCAAGCAATGCTTGAACTTACTACACATCAGTTAGTCAATTCTTGGAGCTAAAAGAAATATGTGAGAAACTTACTGCACTAAAGGAGGTTCAACAAAAAAAAAAAAAAAAAGAGAAAGGCAGAATGTTGGCTTCAAGGTGGAGACTGAAAGTATTATGAAGCCTACGGTGTCATTTTAGTTTAGTTGGAGAAGTGAATCATGGACGTTGATTTAAGACAGATCGTGTGGCTCACATTTGTTGACAGTCAACGATATAAAAAGGGGCAAAACAGTGATAATTGCAATCGGGTTAGTCTTCTCTGTTAGGGTTCATTCAAGTGATTGAGAAACTGATTAGGGCTTAGTTGTTGTAGTGATTTCATTGTAATTCTGGGCAGGATTAGATTGAAGACTGCGTTTCCTTCAAGGGCTAAAGTAGTGCTCTAAAATCTTGTGAGCTACAGGTACGGGATTAGAGTGATTAAGTCTGGGTGGTTGTATTTGTCAGATTCAGTAGATCAATCTTGTAATCTTTGTGTAAACTATTGAATAATCCTAGTGCAGTGAGTCTCCTTATTTCGGAGCTCAACGTGGATGTAATCTATCCAACATTGGATAGGTGAACCATGGTAAAAGATTATCTCTTGTGTGTGATTGTTGATTCTTGTTTTGTGTTGAATTGATTCTTGGATTGGTAAAATTAGACTCGGGCTACAACATTTAGAATATGATTTTTTTTCTAATTTTTAGCCTGAGATAGAACTTTGACATGAAAAATAATGCAGAGTTCGCTATGGATTTGCTCATGTAGCAAATAACTTGTACGAAGAATGGACAAGCTATGCTATTGGAGGAAGCATGAACCCTCAAATCATGAGTGAAGCCAACTTGTTTATCACGCAAAAATCAGGGAAGAAAGAGGTAACTTCGATATATAATTCGTATAACTATATGTTACTATCAAGATGTTCAGTTACAGTTTATGTTTCAAGACTCTAATTTGATAGTAATACTAGAATGTTACATGTTGGTTTTGACATAATAGTTATATCTATTGATGTTTAATTTAATTAGGTAATATGGAAATTGGGAAGCTTATCTAAAATTTATTCAGTCAAAGATGTCTTTAAAAATGGAGCTTCTTTTAAAGCAACAGGTTCTGGAAGTATACAGCCCAATTACAATGATCAACAAAGATTTCCAGTCACAAATGCAAAATATGTGCAGACGTTGACAAATTTTGCAGGTGTTTTAGTATGCTTTTGGTCATCTATATGCTGAGTTGGTCAGTGAAGAGATTCTACTAGAATCAAGAAGAAAAATGATACACCCAAAAGAGGGAAAAAGTTAGTTACACGAGCTAGAGTTTTAAGTGGGTAGCTTCTGATTTCATTACTTTAGCTCTCACAAAGAATAAGCTCTTTTATACTGATATTACAATACCCAAAACGCAACGTTTCATGCAGCTGATATAATACTGAAAATGCAGTGTATAAGACTGCTAGTTATCTACTAATTTTAAAACAATCCTAGTTATTTGAATTGTTACAAAAATGACCCCTGTTCTTTGTCTCTTTATCTCAATATTCTCCCTTAAACCAAACTCTTTTGACTAGGAAAACAGCTGTTGCTTTTATTCTGCTCTACAATCCATTTCTTCAATATTACCCCATAAATTGGACTCTCTCACTTTCTATAAACTCTGTGATTCTTTCTATAAACTCTGTGATTGTGCAAACTTCAATTCTGCTCAACAACATTCTACTATAAAAGTTCTGTTCTGCAGTAACCTTCAAGTTTTCTCAGCAACATTCTTCCATAAAGACAAAACTTCAATTCTACACTTCAATTATATTCTGCAGTAACCTTCAATTTTGCTTAGCAACATGCTCTTTCTATAAACTAACTTCAACTTTGCTTAGCAACATCCTCCTATAATAAAGAAACTTCAACTCTATTCTACAGTAACTTGCAAGTCTACTCAACAACATTCTCCTGTAAAGACAAGCTTCAAATCTGGAACCTGTATTTTCATTACTTAACAAAGCTAATTTCTATTCTCTTACTCCCTGATCTGATAAAAAAACATGAGCTGTCAATTATACTAAACTGTTTTTCAATAATTCAACACAACAATTTTAACTAGGTAAGACAGAAAACACATTCAATTTCTCCCACAATGTATTGAATTTGCTGCTTAACAAAGCTTTGGTCAGGATATCAGCTTTCTGAAATTCGGTGGAGACATATTAAACAGCCAAGTTTTTCTCTGCAACTAGCTCTCTAACGTAATGTACATCTATCTCTATATGCTTTGTTCGAGCATGAAATACAGGATTGGAGAATAAGGCTCTAGCACTCATGTTATCACACCAAATGATGAGAGTCTTTTTAACTTCAATCCCTAGTTCCTTAAAAAGATGTTGAACCCAAATCACTTCTATTGCAGCCTGACTTAAGGCTCTATACTCAACTTCCATAGACGATAGAGAAGTCTCCTTTTGCTTCTTTGAGCTCCATTGAACCAGGTTGTCTCCAAGGAATACTACATAACCACTAGTTGATCGACGATCATTAGCATCGCTAGCCCAATTAGCATCAACATAGGCTTCAAGATTAAAGTGATTATGTTTCTTAAACAGAAGGCCATACTGGAAAGTGCCCTTAATATATCGTAACACTTTTTTACAATCTATCTAATGTACAATCGAGGGACTCTGAAGGAATTGGTTGAGTTTGTCGACTGTAAATGCAATATTGGGCCTGGACAATATAAGGTACTGTAATCAGCCAATGATACTACGATAGAGTGTTGGATGTTCAAATAAATTTTCATCTTCTTTCACCAATATTGTCCCAATGGTCATAAGGGTGAGACACAGTTTACAATCTCCCATATTAGATTTATCTAAAAGCTCTTGAGCATACTTTGTTTGTGTAAGTAACAGACCAACATTATTCCTACAAACTTCAAACCCCAAAAAATAGCTCACTTCTCCCATAATTTTGAGAGCAAATTGATCATTGAGATCTCTAACCACTTGAGCAATAAGTTGAGAATTATTACCGGTCACCGAAATATCATCTACATAAACTGAGAGATAGATCACATCCTCACCTTTTTTGTAGTAAAAGAGAATGATATCAGAATTGGAATTCAGGAAACCCCAAGCCAAAAGTGCCCCTTCCAGCTTATCAAACCAGGCCCGCAGGGCCTGCTTAAGACCATACAAGGCCTTATTCAACTTGCAAACCTATTGTGGACCAGCATAATCTGAAAAACCATTAGGTGGCATCATGTAAACCTTCTCCGTAAGCTTTCCATTTAAGAAAGCGTTGTTAACATCAAGTTGTTGAACTTGCCAATTTCTATGAACAGCCAATGACAAAATTATGCGCATTGTAGCTACTTTAACAACCGGAGAGAAGGTATCAAAATAATCCAAGCCAGAGGTTTGTTGAAAACCCTTGGCAACTAACCTAGCTTTGTATTTTTGAAGAGTTCCATCAGAATTGAGCTTGGTTTTGAATACCCATTTACAACCAACCACATGCATACCATGTTCATAAGGTACCATCTCCCAAGTTTTATTATTTGGCAAAGCTTGATACTTTGCTTCCATAGCATTTTTCCATTCGTGAGTAGTCAAAGCTTCCTTGACAGATTTTGGCTCTTGAAGAATCACATGAGTGGAGAGTAAGGCTTGAGTTGGAGGAAAAAATCTATGATTGACCTTAGAGCAACCTGTTTTTGATCGTGTAAGCATGGGGTGAGCATTATGAGTTGAGTTGGAACTATAACCAAGTGGAATACTAGGAGCTAACAGCAAGACCACTTCTAGTTGAATACTAAGAGAAGAAGACAGGTGTGAAGTGGAGACTGATTTAGAGTTTTTGTTCGGTTTAGTCGACTCAGGATGTACTATTGGCAATTGATCAATCATGAGTGGAGGATGCTAGTTAGGCTGAGTTAAACAATCAACATTAGGTGCTGTAGAAGATAGGTTAACTTCAGATTGAGTGTGTTGGTGAAGCTGAGTTGAAGAATCAGCAATGTCAGAGTGAGTTTCTAAAGACTCAGTGTTATCCTTAGGTTGAACCATATCTGGGATAGAGTGAGACTGTGAGAAAATAGTGCTTTGTAAATTAGAGCTGCCACTTTGGGAAGTGAGAACAGGAGATACAAATGAAGAAGGCAGAAACTAGGAACAAGTTTCTTGAGTCTGTGACGGATAAACTTCTGACATAGAGCAGTTAGGCTGTTATTGAAAACCATGTTTGAAAGGGAACTCATCTTCACAAAATCTAACTTGTTTGACTATATAAATTCTATCGGATACATGCACTTATACCCTTTGTGAGTTTAGCTATAGCCAAGGAAAATACATTTTTTAGTGTGGAAATAGAGCTTGTGCTTGTGATAGGGTCCGAGATAAGGAAAACAATTACACCCAAATACCCTTAACTCATTGATCAAACAGCAACTGAAAATAGAGGAATTTTCTAGGACAGAAGAAGATAGTTTGTTTAATAAATAGGTTCCTGTCATGAAGGCTGACCACCAAAACTTCAAAGGCATAGAAGCATGAGCCAGTAGAGAGAGACCAAATTCAGTAATGGACCTATGCCTCCTCTCCACTCTACCATTTTGTTGATGCAGGTAAGGGCAATGATGCCTAAACATGATTCCGTGCTCTTGTAGGTACTTGGAGAAAACTCTAAACTCTCCTCCCCAATCAGTTTGCAAACACGTAAGATGAGTACTCAATTTATTTTCTACAAACTTATGAAATTGGACAAACACTCCATATGCTTCAGATTTCAATTTCAGAGGGTATATCCATGTGTATTGGCTATAATCATCAACAAAAATAATGTAGTATCTGAACCCTTCAGTGGACAATACAGGGGCAAGACCCTACAAATCAGAGTACACCAAGTCTAAAGGGGCATGTGCTCTTGAATTAGAAGAGGGAAAACTACATTGCGACAATTTTCCATAGGCACAAGCTTCACATATAGTATTTTTATTAACATCAGCAACAAATTTCACATTCAGCTTAGTTAGTACATAATGAAGTGCTTTGGTACTAAGGTGTCCTAATCTAGCATGCCAAAGAGAGAATGTACTTGACAGTGTAGATGTTGTTTTACAAACAGAAAGACTATTGTCAACAATACTGTTCAAGCATTGTGAATCAGCTAACAACTTATTAGACATTCTATATGAACTTGAAGAGATCACTGGTGGTGAATGAAGTGATGCAGACTTATTTGAAGCAGTAGTAGAATTAACAGAAGCAACTACAGAAGAAGCAGCAGTGAATGGAATATCCAGCTGATAAAGACCATGCTTGACAGTCCCTTGCAGTAGTATAGCTTTGCTGCCTCTATCCTTTACCAAACAATGGTCATAATAGAATTCAACACTCACATTATTATCTTTTGTGATTTGAGAAATGCTTAACAATTTTTTTGCAATCTTAGGCGCACAAAGAATATTCTTGAGATGTAAAATCTTATGACAATCAGAGGAAGGCAGCATTACCATACTTGTGTGAGTTATTGGCAAGGACTTACCATTCCCAACTTGCACCTTAGAACCCCTTGAGTATCCTAATGTCATCAGCATTGTATTTGTGTCTGCAGTCATATGGTTGGAAGCTCCTGAGTCCATGTACCAAGAATGATCCTTCACTATTTGTGGTGTAGCAAGTGTGTGATCAGCATGTCCTGTGGGCAAGATAGTATCTGGTTTGGTGGAAGAACCAGAAGGGCTTTGTGAAAATTGATGGGAAGCTTGCATGGTAAAGGCTGGACTAGGATCAAGTTGATGCATTGCTGGAGCTCCAATAGCTGAGTAATCATGAAACTGTCCAACATGATTATTGTAGTACTGAACTGGTATAATAGTTCCAGCATACATGGCTTGAGGAGTTTCATTTGCAGAGGTTGAATAAGTATGTTGAATAATGGGCAAAACTTGTTGATTTGCTCCAGTATAATTGACATAGGATTGGTGCCCTGGATTTCCATAACTTGCATTTGGAAAACCTTGATAGTCTTGATCGAATCTATGATAACAATGAAGAGCTGAATGATCTGGCTTTCCGCAAACTTGGCACATCAACCGTGTCTTAGAGTAGCCTCTTCCTTTGTTAAAAATGAGAAAAACCACCAGCAAATATTTGTGAATGCACAGGATATGAGTTATTTCGCATGTTTCCAGATTGTCCTATAAACATAGGAGTTTCCCCATAATGAGAACTGCTTGAGTTTCCCAAAGTCATGTTCTAAGTTTGCTGAGGTTGCTGGCTAAAACATACTACTAGATCCTTGAAAATGCGCTAGTGGTGGACCTTGCTGTGATGGTATTCCAGATGACACACGTGACAAAGATGCAGTTCCTTCAGAAGTGTTTGTCTTAGCTACCATTAATGCAGACGACATTTGCTCATGAAAAGTTAATAATGCACTGTTTTGTCTTTCTAACCTCAATTCATGTTTATGTAACAGGAATGGAGCTTCCTGAAAGGTAATTTGACTCACAGTTGAAGTAAGGTTTGCTATTACAACATCGTATTCAGATCCCAATCCATCTAGAATGTACATTAACAATTCTTCATCTTCTATGTGTACACCACTAGCATTAAGTTTATCTGCAAATTCTTTCATACGTAACACATAATCATTCATACTTTGAGACTCCTTTTTAGTTGTATTCAACATATTTCATAGGTACAGAGTTCTTGCTTTAGAAAAAGACTGAAAATGTACTTCCAGTGTGCTCCATATCTCATAGGCACTACTACATTTAGACACCTGCCTGAACATCGACTCTGAGATTGACGAAAACAACCAACTGACTAGAAATTGGTCTGTCTTCTTCCAGTTTAGATACTTAGGGTTTGGACATTTTATCAACTTTTCACTCTCATCTACTTTCTCCATTACAAACATAGGAGGACAAGAGTTCGTACTTGTGATATATCCATCCAATTCGTGAGAGACCAATGCATTTCTTTCAACCAATTACACTGTCAAATTCAGAAGATTCAAGTGAGTTGTAGAAATTTGAGCATTTGCACTAATTGATTGTTCAACATCCATTGTAGAGTTTTGTTCGAAAAAGAGAAATTGATTTCAAGATTTGCCTTCGACGTTGGTCTAGGGCTCTGATACCATGAAGAGATTCTACTAGAATCAAGAAGAAAAATGATACATGCAAAAGAGGGAAAAAGTTAGTTGAAGATTCTTAACCGGATTCAAAAAAAAAATTAACAAAAATTAAAGAATTTGTGAAACACAGTTGAGACAAACTAAAATGAATATATTGAAGTTTTTACTTACTACAAAACAAAAAAGGTTGCGTATTTATATCAGGAAGATGATATAAAAATGCCACCGTATTGAGCTAATACAAAAATACACCGTATTGATGTTCTTACAATAAACCCCAACCTACTTTCATTCTTTACACTTTAACCCAAGCTACTATACTTAGCTTTTCCTAACATTTCTTTTGCCTAATATTTCCCTTTAAACAAAACATCTCTTGGTCTTGATCTTAACATTTCTTTTGCCTAATATTTCCCCTTAAACAAAACATCTCTACAATTTCTTCACATACTGGTGTGCTGTCGTAGGCAACCAAGATTAAAACCTAAAAACACATGTAGTAGTGTGAGTAAGGATCGTTCCCACGGAGAGTGTCTAGCCGAGTTTAATGTTACGTAAACAAGGCTGGCTAGGGGGGGAGGATGGGGGGGATTTGAGTAAAACAGAAACAATTTCAGGAAAAACAACTAAGAGACAATTCCAAGTTAATTATCAATCAAAACAAACCTTGGTCTAAGTCAACATCCACCATCAGAATTTTACAACTGATCATCGACGCAAGTATATATCAATTCATATTTTGAGTATTCACCGTTGGAACTATTTTCCTATCTCTCCTTTATTGTAGTTAATTAAGAAACAAGCGATCCAATTAATCTTACAACTGCACAGCCCTAGACAAGCGCTAAAGATTTAATCTAGTGGCAACCTTAAGAACTAGAGAGATCTGTGAAGCTTAACAACACAAACACAAGCGGTTGTATTTAATTTAGTTGAATGTCCTTCTTAAGATTTAATAATTCTTGACTTAGCAAACTCTTAAACCTTAATTACTTCACAAGTTAAAGGGATCAAACAATTACTGATTTGATATCTAACTTAGCAGTAGATTGCAACAAATAATAAACTAGTAGGCCTCCTAGTAATTAAATGTAACATTCATGAATATATGCATAGAAGAACATCCAATTCTCAAAGCATAAATTGAACACTAAAAACAGATAGATCTCACAGTTTTATTGATTCCGAGGTCTCCTTTTCCTTCGACCAAGTTATGAAAGTTTTAGCCGCTCATGGCCATCATCAAAACTCAAAAGAGAAATTGCAGAAGAGAAGAAGGAGAGGCGTGTGTGTTCTCTCTAATTTGATCTCTCTCCTCCTTTTAAGAATATCCAATTCAAGTCTTTGAATTCTACTCAATCTCCTAAAAATATTATAATATCCTAAAATAATATTTATGCTAATCTGATTCTGATTAATTGAAAATAAAATAAAGTCCTAAAATAAAATATGAAAGTGGTGTGTCCAGCTGTAACTTGCGTGCAACAGGTCTTCAAATCTTCCAATAATAAACTGCCTATTTGAATTGCATGACAAGGCGGAATGTTCCAGAACGTCAGCAGTGCAGGTATGTCAACTTGAAGCCTGATTAAAACCTTGATAAAGGTAGTATCTCTCCAAACTCAAAACATGAAAGTTGTAGATCTCTTTCTTAGGATTCCACAGAATTTTGAATCATCTCAATCGGAGCTTGGATGAGAGAGTTATGCCCAGATTACGAAGCAATGTCGAAACTATCCGAATTCACCTAATTAGTTCCGTTTTACATTTAACGCCTCCATTTGCCTCCTAAATCAAAATAGAATAATAATGAGTAAATTTAGGCAAAAAATAAGTATAAAAGACTAGACATTAAGGGGGGTAAATATGACATTTTGCATTCTCATCACATACACTTAGGGGTGTTCAAAAGCGGTTAACCGAACCGGTTAACCGCTTTGCTGAACCAAACTGAATTTTCGGTTCGGAGAAATTTCCGAACCGAAACCGAACAGGTTTTAAAGAAAACCAGTTTTTTGGTTAACTGAAAAACCGGTTAACCGTTTGTGAACCAGTTTTCCATTTTTTTATAAAAGTTTTTTTTTTTAATTTTATCCTAAATTAAATTGTAAATAACTAAATATAGAAAAATACATATCCAAATAAAAATTAAACATTTATACACATCCATTGACCACTACTAACAATAAATTAAAAATTTATATAAATAAAAGTCCGAAATGAAATAAAAATAAAAGTCCATAATAAAACAACAAAATAAATAAATAAGTCCCAGTAGAAAACAACAAAAGAAATTGGGCAAATACAACTCCACAAGTAGAAAGCGAAACCACATCTAGTTCAATCAGTAGATCTCCTAATTCTGCCCAAATAAAAATTAAATGTTAGAAGTTTTATAAAATTAAATCATATTTTTTTTCATTGCCTACGATAAAACTATTAAGAATCAAAACCTCAATAAATGCTGCAAAACTTCAATCATCAAGATGAATACAGTAGTATTTCCCATTGCCGAAGACACAAATTCTATAAAAAATAGGTCATATAATAATGGTTAAATTTAAAATTCAGTCAATAAATCCAATAAAGACAACATAATAACTAATATTGAAACTAAAGCAAAAACTTTACCTGACTCAAGCTCTGCTATCTCTTCCAAGCTCTCCAATCATGAATGGTTCACGTGTAGCCCGAATCCAATCTTGTGGCAAATAAGACCTCCACCGCTTAGGAGTGAGGGAGCTACGAAATGGATCTATACATGACCCCCAGTGCTAAATGCTGACTCAGATGCAACAGTAGAAACCGATAGCTAACACCTCTCGTGCTATCGAAGAGAAACTGGATATCTATTTGAATTGACTTTCCACCAACTCAAGATATCAAACATGTAGTCCTTTGACGCTGCTCACATTCATCCTCTAAATATTTATCCATCTCAGATTTGGTTACTGTAACCTCCTGTCCAGCCATTGCCTCATCGTACATACAATACATCAATTCTTTGGGATCAAATTTACATCTCCACATTAACTTGACTTGCTTGTTGAGACTGTTGACTAGATTACCCACTTGGAGAACTATAAATGAGCTTGTATTGGTCAAATAAAGAATACAAATGTTATGCACTTTTATCTTCAAAGTTCAGCATTAGCATCATCATAGGATTTCCTAATAACCCAATTCACATATCCTAACTTGAATCTAGGATCCAACACCACTGCAATGAATAACATTAAGTTGATATTATCAATATTTGACCAATATTTATCATGTTTCCCTTCATTCTCCTAGCCATAGTACTTAAGCCAACATCTACTTCTCAGACCATGTTGAAATCTGCATCCCATGGCAAAGATCTCGCGCATGTATGCATTACCGGTAACAAAGTGAGCCTGACACGCGTAGAGTAGCATCATAAAAACTTTCAAAAAAGGTAACAAGTAACGGCATACCCCAATCACTAGGCATAGGCAAACCCCTTGACTTTTCCCCTCTAGTAAGTTATCTTATATACTTAACGTCTTGGATTGCCAACAACTCAATGCTTTCTGAAATTTTAAAGCCACATCCAACATTAAGTACGTAGAGTTCCAACTTGTTCTTACATCAAGAGCCAAAAGATTTTTTTGTTCAATCTTTCTTGCTCTACACCACTCCTTAAACCTTTGTTCCTCGCCGGAGAAGAACTCACATATCTCACTGAGAGCGATTCTAAAAATGGAGTCCTCCATGTCTTTTAACCCCTCTTTTACAGTGAGACTCAATATATTGCACAACACCTCATGTGCAGAAAATCACCACTCAAAAACACTACCCTTCCAACTTTCTAACCGTTCTGGAGATATTTTATTCCAACTCATTAGAACTTGCATTGTCAACGGTAATGGTGAAAACCTTAGAAATACCCCAAACAGCAATAACCTCTCAATTGCCTTACCAATCAATAAACCTTGTGCCTAGCAATTGGACAAAATTTAAGTCTTTTGTGTAATTTCCAATCATCATCAATGAAGTGAGCCGTCAAACACATATAGTTAAGGTTTTGGCAAGATTCCATGTATCCGTGGTAACACTTACTCTCTTACTAACTTACTAAAAAGGCCTTCAGCTTATTTCTCTCCTCAACATAAATATTAAAACAATCTCTAGCCACAGTAATACAAGAGGGAACTTGAAATAAAGGTTGTGCATCCTTCATCTATCGCGGAACCTCTCACGTTCTACATGCCTAAAGGGCAACTCATCAACATTATCGTTCTAGCTAGAGACCGTCTAAGCCTATCTGGATTGAATTTCCAAGTCGTAAGTGAAGATGTGTGGAGGTGGCAGCAGTACCACTTGATTGGTCACTTGATTGTGTATGTAAACTAAGATCTTTTGTTTCTTATCTATCACATTCAAATGGTACTTTTTACATCGACTTAAGTGATTCCTAGACAACTAGTACCACTTTTACTTGGACATGCAAGCACATCCCACAATAATCACATGTTGCCTCCTATCATCCATATCTCACAGGATTTACAGTAAAATGATCCCACATGTCA